GTCCCCATACTGCTAGGGAGCTCTCCAAGGTGCTGAAGAAAAGAAGCCAAATAAAGCCTTGCTTATTACTGGTACTTACTACCCCACGAGAGTTGTTTTGGTTGTTTTTAAGCAAGACTAGACCTTTTTTACTGCAAAATTTTCTCTCTACAATTCACTATCAAGTATCATATTCATTGATTTTGTTGGATTTTTTATTTTTAAAAATATGGAAATTTTCCTCCTTTAGTGTCACTGATAAAAGGTGGGACGGTATTTTTTTCACACCTGTGATTTGCTGGAGTGCGAAGGTTGCTGAATATTACTTGGTAATAGATGTATATTTTTAAACTCGCCAGGTTTGAAATGGTGCCCACCTCCATTCTTAGTGGGAAAGACGTCATTCAGTGTTCACTAGCTCTACAGCTTTCATTTCAGCCAGTGAACTGTGTCATTTCTGCATTTGGAAGCATACAGGAGTCTTCTATTATGTCTCGTATAAAAAGGAAACCATGAGACTGCACCTTTTATGCCTTTCATGCTTTGGCTCCCAGTATGTTTCCGAGCACAGTTCAAAGTGTTGGTGCTGACCTTTAAAGCCCTAAACGGCCTCGGTCCAGTATACCTGAAGGAGCGTCTCCACCTCCATCGTTCTGCCCGGACACTGAGGTCCAGCACTGAGGGCCTTCTGGCGGTTCCCTCACTGCAAGAAGTGAAGTTACAGGGAACCAGGCATAGGGCCTTCTCAGTAGTGCCCCCCGCCTTGTGGAACATCCTCCCATCAGATGTCAAAGAGAAGAACAACTACCAGACTTTTAGAAGACATCTGAAGGCAGTCCTGTTTAGGGAAGCTTTTAATGTTTAACAGACCACTGAATTTTAACATTTTGTTGGAAGCTGCCCATAGTGCCTGGGGAAACTGAGCCAGATGGGCTGGGTATAAAAATATATTATTATTATTATTATTATTATTATTATTATTATTATTATTTGCAACCTTTGACCTCAGCTTTACAGCTGCCTTGTTAAAATGATCTGCTCTTACTCTAGCGTAGTTGATACTGCTTCTAGCTGAATTTCAGAGGATGTTGTTAAGCAGGGCTTCTGGATTATCTGCACTATTGTCTATGAGGTGGTGAAACTTCCTACCAAAGATACATAACCAAGGCACCTAGTCCTCCCACTGAGGCCATTCCATCTAAGGCTCTTTCAGCACTGTCTTATTTCTTCCACCAGCAACCAGCTCCTCAGAATACTTCTCAGATCTTTCTTATCTTTAAAATGTGCCTGTTTGTTACTGAGCTTTACCCCCTTTGGAAACAAAACTACTAAGTAATAATTCTAGCTTCAGTCTGTCCTCATACCAAATGGCTGGATGATTTCCTTTGGAGCTCAAGAACAAAGCTTGACTGGAAATTTGGTTGGCGCCCATCTCTCTCAGGAGACAATGGAAAAGTGCTCCTTCTGCCGTGAAGTCAAACCATTGGAGAGTTACAGTGCCTGCTGTGGCTGTAGAGACCAATATGAGAGAGACATGTTTAGTTGCAGCTGGGGCAGATGAAAGCATCCTGTTGTGTTGATGCAGGTGTATCGTGGCGTTTCTTTCTACACGCCTCCCAGAGGTCAAAACTAAATACAAAATCAGTAGTTTTGAGATTGTTGTTGTTTAGTTGTTTAGTCGTGTCCGACTCTTCGTGACTCCTGTCTTCCACTGCCTCCCACAGTTTGGTCAGACTCATGTTTGTAGCTTCGAGAACACTGTCCAACCATCTCGTCCTCTGTCGTCCCCTTCTCCTTGTGCCCTCCATCTTTCCCAACATCAGGGTCTTTTCCAGGGAGTCTTCTCTTCTCATGAGGTGGCCAAAGTATTGGAGCCTCAACTTCACGATCTGTCCTTCCAGTGAGCACTCAGGGCTAATTTCCTTAAGAATGGATGCGTTTGATCTTCTTGCAGTCCCTGGGACTCTCAAGAGTCTCCTCCAGCACCATAATTCAAAAGCATCAATTCTTCGGCGATCAGCCTTCTTTATGGTCCAGCTCTCACTTCCATACATCACTACCAGGAAAACCATGGCTTTTAGTTTTGAGATAGGTATGTGTAAATTGAAACCCGCAAATCCCGACACATAAGCCTTGCAATGTGGCCCACTATGGGCTTAGTAAACTCCTGGGTTCTCCTGTTACCAGGAAGCAGTTGTCAGGTAATTCTCACTGTTGCTTACAGTAAAATAATAAAAGCATAGATTTAAAAAGAATTAATAATGAAGAAACAAACAAACATAGCAGAGCAATAAAATAAGATAGAACACCAGCATACAGTCTCAAATAATTACAAAGCCTGGGCAGATAGAAAGTGTGACCTCCAGCACAAGGCCTTGTCCCTAGAGGTCACTGGATAAGCTAAAGTGACTATGCGCCTAGAAGTCAAGCCAAGTCACTTGGTCCAGGCTCACCACAAACTTATCAAACACTGCAGTAAAGAGTAATTAAGCTCATCTTAACTATGCTTGACTGTGCATAGCAATGGTAAGAATGTGAAGTGAGATCTAGATTACCCTGGAATCCACCCAAACCAGAACACTTCAAGTATTTGAACCATATGTTTGGGAAACATAAGAACGAGGAATTTGCATTCTTTCAGTAAAGAGTGGGAAATAATGTTTCTACCTAATAAACTGGCCCGACATGTTTGTCACTCCTTTACCACGAGTGTTTTAAACCAGATCTTTTCCAGCTGACTCCTATAACTCAACGTCTCCTCATCGGACAATCCCCACCTGTCACTCACCCTGGCTCCACCACCTTTGCCCTCAATCTTGCACTGTCTTCTTTCTCTCACTCATTTTTCTGTTACACTAAGACACGGAGTGCCCTTTAAAATCTGATAAATAATCTCTTTCTGTGAACTCTTATAGATCAAAGACTTGGCAATCTAAAGCCATGACATGTTTCATTAAAGAAAGGAAAAACCTCAAAACAAAATTACGTTTTTGTGTAGTTTCTGGCATAGTTCATTCTAAACATCCTGGATCAAAGAAATCCAGTCTTGTAGCACTGCTTTTCTATTTGTAGCAAAGCTTAAATTTATCAAACCGCTTACTTCGGAAACCAGTATTTATGTTTAGATGTCAGTGATCGTGGTTTCATCTGATATACCATATTTTTCGCTCCATAAGACACACTTTTTTTCCTCCTAAAAAGGAAGGGGAAATGTCTGTGCGTCTTATGGAGCAAATGTGTGGTCGATTGCTGGCTCCCTTTCCAGCCCTGCCCCCTTGCTGGATGCTCTGCAGACAGAGGCTGTTTGTTTCCCCAGCAACATGTGACTGGCTGGTTAGATTATCTGTCTGGAAAGAAGCTGCAGAACTGTGAGTTGAACCCCATAAAAACAGGATTTTTTCCCTTTGCAAAATAAGCTCGACAACTTTGAGCTGATCCTCAAAAAATGAGGCTTTCCCCCTTTCCTCGTCTAAAAACTAGGTGCGTCTTATGGTTGGGTGTGTCTTATGGAGTGAAAAATATGGTATTCTGCAGCACCATGAGACAAATGTGAGTGGGTGCAACATAAGACCTGGATTTGAAATTGTAAATTGCAAGTAGCACTTGCTGCTGGTTCAAACCGCATCACCAGACACGGCATCTATAGAGCCTCAGCATGCCTATAGAGGCCACTGGGTCAGGCAGCCACTGCAAGCAGAGGCATTGTGAGGTACATAAAGGACTGAGGGCACAGGCCCATGACACAAATTTGCATATGTTAATTTATATCTAAACATACCTCAGTGCAAATAAAAACGGCCAGTACAGTCGTACCTTGGATCCTGAACGCCTTGGTACTCAGACGTCTTGGCTCCCAAATGCCGCAAAGTCAGTGTTCCGGTTTGCAAACGTTCTTTAGAACCTGAACGTCCAACAGGGCTTCCGCGGCTTCTGATTGGCTGCAGAAGCTTCTTGCAGCCAATCAGAAGCTGCGCTTTGGTTTCCAAACATTTTGGAAGTCGAATGGACTTCTGGAATGGATTCCATTCGACTTCCAAGGTATGACTGTAGTTGGATCTCACCAGCACTAGGTTTTGGTTGTGCACCTAGTCACTTTATGAGCAGCAGAAAATAATAATAATAAACTTGAGGGAAAGGGAACAGAAGGCTCCCTTTACAAAATTCAAAAACTCCAGTGCCGCCACTGGCCAGGCCCAACAATGCCCTATTCTGCTATGGAGTCCTTCCTTCTCCTCCTTCCTTGAGCCATGCTGACCACATGGAGAGAGCAACCACTTATACTGCCTTCTCCCTGCCATTACTTCACTTGCATCAGTTGGCAGAGGTGAAAAGGAAGCTACTTCCCTTCTTTGCCTTCACTGGCTTAGGATTTTGGTTGGTTTGTTTTATGCCCCCCCCCCCCGATGTCTGAGCAAAAAAGGACAGAAAAGAGAATCTCTTATTCTGGAACTGGAGAAAAGCAGGTCACTTGAAGATCAGTTCCATCCCAAAGGAAAAACATGCAGCCCTCTTGTCATATTATTGAAGAATTCCTTGTTCTTACTGTGCATACATACCATGCTGAGGATGAGAGAGGTGGAACAGGAAGCAGTTTCTTTTATCAGACAACACAGTTTCATGAATCCTCTTCCTGACTCGATCTGTTTTGTAGCTGTGCTAATGCACACCATCTGGTCCACCAAGTGGCACACATCAAGCATTACTGATGACGCTACTTTTCCGTGAAACACCCCCTATAAAATCTGCAGCATAAAGGCTCAAGGTCCCATTGTCCCATTCGGCATGCTGAGCGCTCAGGAAGCTTGTTTATATTGTGTTCCCCAAGTGCACCATCATCTCGTCGTCCTTCTGGATGATCTGGATCATTTCCACAGCAAATAGACCGCATGCTGTGGGGGTGTCTCCTATCCCAACATAGTAATATTCTTGTCAGCCTGTTTCCATTAGTTTTCATCTGTGAGAAACGAGATTCGTGCTACTTAAGAAGTGAATATATTTCTGCCTAAAATGCTTTTTTGCAGGTGAAATGTGATCAGTATTGGCCAAGCAGAGGAACCGAAACGTATGGACTGATCCAGGTGACCTTGTTGGACACTGTAGAATTGGCAACGTACTGTGTTAGAACATTTGCACTTTACAAGGTAATTCTTCGTTCTGTATGCATCAGATATTTTTTTGGTGGCGAGAGAGAGTCATGGTTGTTTATAACAATATAACTGGATTACATGGGGCCATACAGTCTAGTTCATGGGTAGGCAAACTAAGGCCCGGGGGCCAGATCCAGCCCAATCACCTTCTAAATCCGGCCTGCAGATGGTCCAGGAATCAGCATGTTTTTACATGTGTCCTTTTATTTAAAATGTATCTCTGGGTTACTTGTGGGGCTTGCTTGTTTTTTTTACATGAGTAGAATGTGTCCTTTTATTTAAAATTCATCTCTGGGTTATTTGTGGGGCGTACAAATTTGTTCATCCCCCCCCAAAAAAAAATATAGTCCACCCCCCCACACAAGGTCTGAGGGACAGTGAACCGGCCCCCTGCTGAAAAAGTTTGCTGACCCCTCCTTGCAGCAGCAAGATTCCCTAGAATTAAATGCTCACCCAGTTTCCTATCCAAAGCCTGCAGAGTGCCGGGGGAGGGGGGGCCATAAAATTCCTAGCCATTATCAAACATCTTTACAACTATAAAACATTTATTGACATTCAAGCCATATCAGAACTCTGAAATCTTTTACACATTGTCTTTCTTCCCTCCATGGCCCTAGTAAACAGTTCCTCCTCCTTTCTATGTTAAGCTTTTAATTATTTGAATATTTGTTTTCCAATCTAACTTACAGCCAGTTCCTATAGTTTTAAGGTCATTGGTTTTCAACTAGTGTTCCATGGTACCCTGGGGTGCCTTGAATGATGGCCAGGGCTGCCGTGGGCAACATTGGCTTCTGTTCCTCTTTTCTTCCCTCTCTCCTCTGATGCCCTCTCACGTCTCTGCCTCCTAAAGGCTTGCACAGGTGTTCATTGCAGTCACCCTGGCTACAAGCTCAGCAGGCAAATGGGGCCTCTGGGGCTGGCCAGCGCGTGCAGGCTGCCAGTAGCTGAGGCAGCCTCAGAGTAAAGAAGCAAGCGGACGAGGGAGTCCAGCCACCCAGTCCGGCAGCCCTTGCTCTTGGGAATGGACAGAGAAGTCCCAGGCCCCAGATGAGACCAGGGGTGGCAGCAGCAGCTGCCCAGAGGACTCCCAAGGAGAGGGGAGAGGAAGCTGAGGGAACACTGCACAACGGAAGGTGTTTGAAAAAGGGTGAGAGGCTGCCAGCTCTGCAGGCAAGGGGTGACATAACTGGACTCCTGAGCCCCACAGGGGTGCCGCAGAAAGAATGTAGTTGGCCAAGGGAGTCGTGGACTCAAAAAGGTTGAAAACCTCTGGCTTGAGTCATGCATTCTGAATGTTGGGCTGGCTACACAATAGTTCCCATACTGCTTCTCTGCAGTAGTAGTGAATAACAGTGCTGTGTCTGCACTTTCCAGCACCATCACTGAGAAGTTCATTACTGTGATAAATCCAATAAAAAGGTAAAGGGACCCCTGACCGTTAGGTCCAGTTGCGGCGCTCATCTCACTTTACTGGCTGAGGGAGCCGGCGTACAGCTTCCAGGTCATGTGGCCAGCATGACTAAGCCGCTTGTGGCGAACCAGAGCAGCGCACGGAAACACCATTTACCTTCCCGCCGGAGCGGTACCTATTTATCTACTTGCACTTTGATGTGCTTTCAAACTGCTCGATGGGCAGGAGATAAATCAAATACAGCTCACTATTAAATAGGTGCCACAGTTCTAGAGTAGCCGCAGACTCAGCTTGCGAGATGATATCGTATCCTGCCTTTAAATAGAACTTTATTTAAGACTCATGGCGATGTGGCAGATATGCCTTTGCTCCATTCCGGAGCACTGTTGTGACATCGGGCAGTCATTCCAACCAACATTCTTCTCTGGCAGAACGGATCGAGTGAGAAGAGAGAAGTGAGGCAGTTCCAGTTCACTGCCTGGCCTGACCATGGAGTTCCAGAACATCCGACGCCATTCCTAGCTTTCTTACGACGAGTCAAAACCTGTAATCCTCCCGATGCTGGGCCAATGCTTGTTCACTGCAGGTAAGCGCAGGCTTCACTGTAACAAACACTTGCAAGTGACATGTTAATGCCGTAAGCCAATGGCTCATAATTTGGCAGTGTATATAGCATTTCATTTGCATTTTCCCCATTCTCTGGAAGTTCTGATTAACTGAATACATGATGGCTGTAGTCTAAACAAGCACGAAACAAGCTCCACAAGCTGTAAAGGAGCTTTAGAACACAGTGAGGGTTGTTTTCAAGCAACAGCCCCTTTTTCTACATGGTAAACTATTTTGAAAGCTTAGGGGAGGTTCTTAAAAAAAATGTGTTAATGCAAATGGGGCTTGTTTGAAGGAAAATGTACAAAATAAAATCCAAATAGACTACCCCAAGGTGCAGCCATATGCACACTTATTCCTGGGAGGTGCGCTTAGAACATGGGTAGGCAAACTAAGGCCCGGGGGCCGGATCCAGCCCAATCGCCTTCTAAATCTGGCCTGCGGACGGTCCAGGAATCAGTGTATTTTTACATGGGTAGAATGTGTCCTTTTATTTAAAATGCATCTCTGGGTTATTTGTGGGCCCTGCCCGGTGTTTTGACATGAGTAGAATGTGCACTTTTATTCAAAATGCATCTCTGGGTTATTTGTGGGGCATAGGAATTTGCTATTTTTTCCCTTCAAAATATAGTCCGGCCCCCCACAAGGTCTGAGGGACAGTGGACTAGCCCCCTGCTGAAAAGGTTTGCTTACCCCTGACTTAGAACTATGGATACAGAATCCACCCAAGCAGAATTTCCATATATATACTCAAGTATATTTGTAATCCTTCTTATAGGGATCTCCAAGTGTGGTTGACTTGCATGTTTCCCCCAATTCTGGTTGCCGGTTTCAGGGGTGTTCTTGAGCTCTCATGAGTCCAGCACCATAAGTGCACAGAGCCTCCCCTCATACTAGCTATACTATTATGTGATAATATTTATTGGTTGGGTTGAGGTACTCTGGGAACATTTATGGGAAAGATGATGTGTGCCTGGACCTTGCGATCGCTAGCATTTTGCTCGACATACAGCTCAAATAGCTGAATCTCCGAAGGCAGAAGAACCCAATTGTTCAAAAGGTTGGATACCTACCAAGTTGAAAAGATATACCTGAGAAGCACGAAACTGCATCTGTTCTGGTGATCTTGCAAATCCATTGATTTCATTGTGAAAGGAAGTTTCTTATTACCTATTTACATACGCTACACTTCAAGTAATTTCAATTTATATCCCTGATTTGTTTTACCTGAAATGTGAGGCAATTGGATAAGCAATTTTGAACAGTTCTAAATGGAAAGAATCTGCTGATAATTTGTTTATTTATAAAAAACAGAAATTTCTGCCCCATGCTTCTAGTTCCTATGCACTACTCAAGGCAATTTACGACGATTTAAAACTGCAATATCATATCAATAGAAATGCATTAAAAATCCAACACAGGCAGAGACCAGGCAGATACACAGACAGATAAAACATAGCATTTAAATAAAATAAATAGGCAAAGCCTGATGGATTTTTTTATTATAAAAAATGTATTCACCAACAAGCAAAAGGCAGAAAGAAAGGTGGCCACTCACACTTCAAGGAGCGAAGTAACCCACACCATACTGAGAAAGCCTTATAGCTTCTTGCTGTCAACCTCATGTAACCTGAGGTAGGACACAGAGAAGGACACCTCCTTTTGATATTTGGCCCCAGGCAAGATGGCATTAGAGGAGACAGTCCCTCAGGTGTATTTTAATCTTGAGGCTGACATGGGCTGGCCAGGTCAGGATGATGCAGATGGAAGATTGGCCAAGGACCTGGGAGAGGGTTCTAGCAGAATGTGGGGGCCTCTGCCGGGAGTGGTGAAATTTGCTGGCAAGGATCGTGGGAAGAGAGCTTCCTCAGCCAATGTGGTGTGGTGGTTAAGAGCTGTAGACGCGTAATCTGGTGAACTGGGTTCGCTTCCCCGCTCCTCCACATGCTGCTGCTGGGTGACCTTGGGCTAGTCACCCTTTTCTGAAGTCTCTCAGCCCCACTCACCTCACAGAGTGTTTGTTGTGGGGGAGGAAGGAAAAGGAGAGTATTAGCTGCTTTGAGACTCCTTCGGGTAGTGATAAAGCGGGATATCAGATCCAAACTCCACCTCCTCCTCCTCCTCCTCCTCCTCCTCCTCCTCCTCCTCCTCCTCTTCTTCTTCTTGTCTCATCCATCTCCATGATGATAGCTGCAAGTCCCACCTCCTTCTCTATTCCTGCCTTTCCTCCCACCCTGGCACCATCAGATACTGGGAGTATCTTAGGAACGCCACTCCAGATTTGGGTAGGATTTGCTCCGTAGCCTTTTCTTCTCTCGAAGATACCCCGCAAGGCAGCTGAGGTTTAGGATCAGAGTTTTTCTTCTCCTGGATGGGCTACCTTCCCAGGTGGGCTCACTTCCCTCTACAGCACGTGCAGAAACCGCCTTCTTGACCAGTGGGCCAACTATTGGTCTCGTCTGCTAAACCCTCTGGGGCCTGTCTTCGCATGCAGGGGAAGTTCCTAACTTACCGAGGGTTTGAGACCAATTGGCTACCCTCACCTGGTTTAGCCGGCCAGCTGAAGCTGTTCCCAGTGTGTGTCCACTGTTGCATGTTGACAGCTTCTAGGAGCAACAAATGAGAGCTAAGCTGAGTGCAGGATGGGGATCAAAGGTAGACAAACTAACCCAGAAGAAGAACAAAATGTCCCCCACCAGAGGTACTATACCCATCCCCGAGCACTCCATATATAGGTAAAGGGACCCATGACCATTAGGTCCAATCGTGGCTGACTCTGGGGTTGCGGCATTCATCTCGCTTTATTAGCCAGCATGACTCAGCTGCTTCTGGCAAACCAGAGCAGCGCATGGAAACACTGTTTACCTTTCCGCCAGAGTGGTACCTATTTATCTACTTGCTCTTTGACGTGCTTTTGAACTGCTAGGTTGGCAGGAGCTGGACCCAAACAATGGGAGCTCACCCCGTGGCAGGGATTCGTACCGCTGACTGTCTGATCGGCAAGTCCTAGGCTCTGTGGTTTAACCCACAGCGCCACCCAGGTCCCATATATACAGTATATACATATATACTCCATATATACAGGATAGCAAAAGGGTGTGACAGTGTCAGATCAATGTCCAAAGCTTTTGAAGCTAGAGCACTTGCCTTAGCTGTCTGTGTATTTTGGATTAGCCGTGTGTATTGCCTGAAATGCCTTCGGGCAGCAATTTGCATACCCACCACAGTAACCTAAGCATTGAAGCCTTTGGAAAGAACTATTTGCCAACTCTTTGTTCTTCAGCAACTGGGAGACAAAGGAAGCCCTGGATTTATTTTTTTCACTTTTTCTGCCCCACTGTCCTTTAAATCCACAGAATTTGACCACTGTACTTTTTAGTTTTCCTTTTGTTCTTTCTTGGGGTGCAATCCAATGCATGCATACTGACTCAGTCAGTCACAGTAAACACAGCAGAACTTTCTTCTGAGGAAAACAATGAGTGCAAGACCTGCTCTCTTGTTCCTCGTTTCCCTAATAACTGAAACGAGTTTGTTTTATGGAGACCTCCTCCGTGTTTCCTTCTTTATTGTTTTTGTTTCCAGAGCTGAGCAAACGGTGTTGATGGTAGATTTATGAAAAACATAATCATAAACATCTCTCAAATAAGTTTTCATGTATGAATTTAAGAGCTGCAACTGAAAGACTTGAAGTGAAAACTGGATGTAATTTTCATGAGTGCCAAAAAAGCTTTTATACAGCTTAGCTAAAAAATAAGGATAAAAATAAACAGTTCTGTTAAGCAACAGTGATAAAGTACTGGGTGAATTGTTTTCTTAACTGACGATGTAGGCAATTAAGTTTCCACTGAGAGCTTGTGATTGGCCCTCCATAATCTATTCCCTTGAAATTTTCTATAGACTGTGTACTCCAATTATATATTATGGCAGCAATCCAAAGAGGTGCACTTAAGCCCTATTTAAATCAATGGGATGTGTTAGTTGTGATTGTCTTCCCCCATTGATTTCAATAGGACTTGAGACATAACCAACTTCCTCTTGATTGTGACCTACCAGATTCAGCATGCCAAACTCCTAGGAACAAAAGCAAAAGCAGCTTGGAACTAGCTAACACTCATCTGCAGGAAAACAAAATGAAAACAATGCCTTTAATTGCACAGTTGCATTTAAACGGTTTTAACCCTTAGCCTGCAATCCATGCATCTTCTCTTGGCAGCTCAGATGTGCTGGGCCTGCAAAAAAGAAATGAGAAAATCTCAAAGCAATTTTTGCTGTACCCATAAATGGCAGAGGTCTTACTGCTAACAAATAATGCATGCATACACAAGATTTGGGGTTTGCTTTGAGTTTCTAAGTATCACAACACTAGTTTAACTTTAGAATACCACAGAATCCAGATTGTTAGGCCATTGGTGTAGGAGCCTGTTTTTGTCATTCCATAGAGCACTACATATGCTGATAGTGCTTTAATCATCATAATGGCAGTAACAGTCAACTTTCCAGCTGGCACTTACCTATACCTTCTAGAAGTGGAATGTCATGGCCATTGGTCCCATTTGCCAAACAGCAGAGCTGGTTCTAATGAATAACTTATAAATGCCTCATTTAGTTATCCATTTCTACCTCTGCATAATATTCTGCCTATTCCAGAGCAATTTAGCAATATCACAGTCCAACCATTGCCTCCATGCTGATCTGCTTTCATTTGTAAAATTAAATATCCTTTTAATGAGCACTTATTGTTTGAAATTCAGGCTTTAATTCTATGAATCTGCGATAGACAGAGTGTAACATGTGGTCTATTGATAGCAGGAAAAGCACACGGTTGTTTGAAGTCGGATTATTGCTGGCAAACAGGTGCTCATCAGATCATAGCCGAATAGCACCAGAGGGCATCTGGAAGCCTTTTTGTTTTGTTTTGAGAACTTCACAGAAGTCTTAGCAATTGCTTCAGTAATGTTACCCAGAAGCTTTGTATAGAAA